GCCTGCAAAAATTTCTTTCTTTACTCCGCGCATTAGGTGCCGCAACTTCGTCTCCTCGACCATGTTTAGGTCGGCTCGGCAGAAGAGCCGTGACATGTCTTCTATGTACATGGCCACGCTCTCGTTATTCCGCTGGTTCCTCGCCTGAAGAGCAGCCTCTGCCTTCTCTTTGCGGTCCGTGTTGGGATAGGTTGCGATTAGCTCTCGTCGGAAGTCGTCCCACGACAGCAAGGATGCTTCGTGGTTCTCAAACCACGTACGTGCCGAATCTTGCAGGGCGACGTAAACGTAACGAAGTTTTCGGGCTTCGTCCCAACCATTCAAACGTGCAACGCGCTCGAAGCCTTCCAGCCAGTCCTCGGCGTCTTCAAAGGTCTCACCGTGGAAGACTTCTGGTGTACGTGGCGAATCCACAATGAGGTGAGATGGAGATGGCATCGACTGGGTGGCCATCGCAGTGACGCTTGTGCTTGAGGTCTCGACAGGTCTTGATGAGTCAATTAGGGGGCCAAACTCGGGCTGCTCACCACGTAGTCGGCGACTCGTGCGTTGGTGCACAGGTGTCCATTCTGCTGGCTCCGATCTTCTGGGATCTGGGCTTCTCTCCCTTGCCTGTGGTGGGCTTGGAAGCATACCCAGCACGTCCACCAGATTGTTACGAATAAATATAGCACCTGGTACTATATAAACTCTTTATTTAGGGCGAACTTGTGCCCGTAAACTCAAAGCTAAAAATGGTCAGCCAAAAAAATGTCTCTGCTCGCTGACTCCAACTTCGTCGGTCTCTTCCTCTGCCCCTCGAGTCACGTGCCGGTTCCATGGCGTAGCATCGTGGCGCGTGCAGGACGGCGTTCCATGGCGCAGCTTTCTTGCTACTTGCTTGACGGCTTTTACGAATGCGAATTGTGGTACGCGTCTTCTGTGATGGTCGAGCTGTGGCAATATGAAGTTGAGCATTCTTATTGTGAAGATGTGCTTAGTGTTTTTAAAGGTTATGGACACGGACTTAGGTTCACTATCAAGGTACCCACAGAGACTTGTCCACAGTTTTTAGACCTCAAGCTACTGTGGGACAGTGAACACTTTTGTTGGTATTACGATCATCGAGTGAAAAAGGGGCGGTTGCCATATGATTCTGCACACTCAAAAATAGTTAAAAGAGGAATTGCTTCACTTTGCCTAGAATCCTCGTTGACTAAGCCGTGTTCACACCACATGCGTACTAGTTTTTATGATCAAATCAGCTGATTGACGGCAGCAGGCTTCCCTTCGTCGGTCATAAACACGGTCGTCGAGTCGCTACTGCAGAAGTTGAAACGTGGAACACAAAGGAATGAAGCTGCTTGGAATCCATCAGGTTTCAAGCGTCAAGTGATGCAGTACGTCCACAAGCTCTCCCATAATTTTAAGAAGGTCGCTGCTAGGCATGGTGTAGCTGCAGTCTTTGCTGCGCCACAAAAGCTTGCCAAATTGTGTCTGCACATTTGCAATGGCAAGAGATGTGATTGCCTTAAAAAACATGAGAACGCCTTCGTTAAATGTTCCATGGGAGTTGTATACTCCATTCTTTTATCCTGCTGTAACGTGCACATTGGCATTACCGAGAGATGCCTCAATTACTTGCTTAGGGAGCATGCGCTAAAGGTAAAGAAAAGCAAGGATAAGTACGCACATCTTGTGTCACATATTGCTGCTTGTGGGTGTGAACCACGATTCACAGATACGAGGGTTCTTGGAAGAAGCTTGAATTTATCTGCATGTCTGCCATTGGAAGCATATAGCGACAATCACTCGCTGTGCTGGCTCGCGGGCCTAAAGGACCCTTCTGGGCGACTTGCTAGATGGGTTGCAAGAATACGACATAACAGTCGTATACAAGTCGGGTCGCAAGCACAGGGACGCTGATTGCCTGTCATGCGCACACCAGTGGAATCTGCACCTGTGGAAGATGGAGACGACTTTCCGTTTCTTAGAGCCGTCAGCAATGCAGACATGACTGAATATCAACGATCTGCCGTGCACCCAGCACCTCCATCAAAATTGTTACGCACAATCCAAATGATGTAAGAATAACTGTTTATTGGGGCTAACTTGTGCCCGAAAAGTAAAGGAAAATGTAGCAACGTTTCTAACAGGCAATCAGCAAAAGGAATCAATCTCCGAGAAGCCCTCGAGCGATGCACCACTTCTTTTTCGTGAAAATCTCGTGCTGAGGAGGCGCGCGCCGTCACAGCCTTCTCTTGTTTCAACATCGGGCCGCTGATATCTTGGGGGGCGCACAAACTAGCGCGCGTAGTTTGAATACTGCGTCTGTCTTGTGTCAATAATTTATTGAAAAAAAAAATGTAAGAATATCTGTGTCAGCGAGTTGTCTTTGGTGTTGCATCAACAGGAAATATCTTTTCTCGAGGCAAGGATTTAGTGATTAAGAATATCTATGTCAGCGAGTTGTCTTTGGTGTTGAACCAACATGAAATATCTTTTCTCGAGGCAAGAATTTAGTGATTAAGTGAGGCAGCTGGCCATGACGCCATATCATCAATGATATTAAAGAAGAATATTGATGTTTTGTGTGGTCCCTTATGCCATATATTTATTCATGCATTTTCCTCTAAAACTTATCCTAGTATACTTAAGACCGCCAAAGTAATACCAGTGTACAAATCTGGTGATCGGAATTTTTCTGACAGCTACAGACCAATATCTGTTCTGAGTAGTATTAACACTACGCTTGAAAAGCTAATTTTGTCGTAATTAATGCACCTCATAGGTGAACAGAATGTACTTTGTCCCCAGCAACACGACTTTGTTGCTAACAGGTCCACCTCAACTGCTGTTTCGATGCTTACGCAATATATTAATTCCGCACTACATGAAAACAACATAGCAATAGCAGTATCTTTAGACATACGAAAGGCATTTGATGCTATTAGTCCTTCTATTTTACTGGAAAAAAATGCATTCCTATGGGATAAAAGATAACTCACTTGATTTTTTTTTTCTAGTTATTTATCGGCACGCAAACAAAAGGTAGTCATTGGTGACATCAAGTCATCTTACGGTTATATTAAACGCGGGGTGCCACAGGGTTCAGTTTTGGGCCCTATACTGTTCTCTTTTTATATCAATGATGTCCCCCAATCCCTACAGAGGTCCAGGGCATTGATATACGCGGACGACACTGTTATAGTTTTCACAGGACACTCCTTAGCAGATCTACAAAATGACGCGCTGACCTATTTATCGAACATCTCGGAATGATTTGCCAAGAATCAGCTGATTGTTAGCTGTACTAAAACAAACTACATGGTGTCCCACTCTTGTAGGAAACATGTCGACGCTGAATTTCTTAACCTAACAATAAACAACGCTCCTATTGAACAAGTTCCTTGTTTTAAATATTCAGGCGTCACTTCTGATAAGCATCTACACTGGCATGAGCAAGTACAAATTGTGTGTGCAAATGTAGCTTATGGCTGCTATTCTCTGATAAAAGCTCGCTAATATTTTCCACAAGCTATACTTTGTACGCTCTACTTTTCATTGTGTCATTGTCACATAGGTTATTGTCTGGAATCATGGGGTGTGACGTACAACAGTTATCTAAAACTCTTGAACGACTTCAAAAGCGCACACTGAAAATCATAAGCAAAGGTGAATCAGTATCTAATATTTTTCAATCACAACGCATTCACGCACTGAGAAAGGGCGGATGAGTTTTCTTCTTATCTGTCACAGCTTTTGTATTACCCACCATCATGTCCACATGCTCCATACGAAGCCATAATTTATTACACCCTTGGCTGGCTTCGGCAGCGCTCATCACGAGACACAAATTTGGAAATTGCAGTTGGCACATAGATCAGCGGGGTTCACAGCAGGTCCCGAATGTATTCACCAGAGCCTGGGTTGACACCAAAATGCCTGATAAGTCTACTGGGAGGCATTGAAGCCATTTCAGACGTGGCTGTGGCGATTTGACTAGTTTAGCAGAATAAAACAGCATGAATTTGTTTTTGTTTTCTAGTGTCTGTATTTACGAACGTTTTCATCGTCTCTCGGAAGTCAGAAAAATCGGGCATTAACTGTACCCCACTAGAGTGTTTTAGATCCACCCGACAGTGAGATTTGATCGAGTTTGCCTTGCCTAAGCTCCCCTTTGTACACAGGTGCACCGCGATGTTGTGTTAACAGAGAGAACTTCAACCAGTTAGTTTCGTTTCCGAAAGTGAGCGCAGGTTGGACACAGACTCGGCAAACTTAAGGGAAAAGTAGCACAACATAGCAGGCAGAGGAATTTGATGCAGCCCGGTGCTCTTGGTACAGCCGTAGCATCACTGAGCTTGTTTTTTGTTTCATGAGGGCTTGCTTAACGATCAGACAGTTCAAGTCCATTGTTTTTTCAATACCATTTTGGGGCAGATTCAGAGCAGTAACTAACAAATATGACATTTTGCAGCAGTAAAAAGCAGCATTTCTTTTATAGAGCAGTTTGGAGCAGCAATACCATCACTGCAGTAATTAATCGCACGTAAAATTGTTATATATATGCCATTTCACTGGCAGAATGAGGAAGGCTCTCTAAGTGCAGTCTTGTAACTCTGTCGAAGAAAGATGCACCGCTGAAAACACCTAGCATCACTTTTGCATCAACAACAGAGTGTCTTAGTTTATTCCCAAATGTGTGCACATAACCGGAGACATACACATGAACGGCCAATTGACAGGTGCCCTCTATCTCACAGGGCATACACCAGCCACACTGCAACTGAATATTGCACTAGCCATGTCACTGCATTTGCATGTTTTCAGCAGCAAATGTTTTTACCGAACAATTTTTAAATAACAAAAACAAAAAAAAAGTGTGCAATTAGGCTTAAACAAAGCTCCACAATATGCTGCTCCCATTGTCTGGACTCCCTGTAGACTTGCAAAGCATAAGCCGAATACCGGATACACAAGGAGAGCCGCGCCAGGTTGCTGTGCGGTCAGCCACTCACCGTTGAGGCCGTGTGAGCAAGTCAGCCTTGTTGAGGAGCAGCAGGCTGCATTTGCTGGCATTTGTCTCGGCCACATACTGCACCAGGTCTTGGCACAGGAACAGCAGGGGGTGCCGAGCATCCACTATCTGCACAACCACGTCACTGCCCAACCCCTGGCGCTTATTTCCATGAATGGGGGTACAAACACAGCATGCAGAGGAACGCCGCTTCATGCGGGGGTCATATAATCGAAAAACTGACAAGACTGGCGGGCACTACCCCAGGATACATTAAATTTTTTTTTTTTCCTTTTCAAGTGACAGCCACACATTGTATTGCAGAAGGTTTGAACCTATTAAGATAAGACTTTCTGCAGATGGCTGTGTCCTTTATCATGTCATCTCTGACCTTAACAAGCAGAAAGTATGGCAAGGTAAACTGGTTGTCCTGGTTTCAGATTAATATCTCAATAAGTGTTCCGTATTTGCTGAGAAATTTTCAGTTTATTCATTTAAAAAAAAACACAAAGTTCGCAATTGAAAGCATGCAGAAGAGGATCCCAAAGTCGGGCGGCTGCAGTGAGAACTTCGGTGAACAATAACAATAAAAGGATTAGTTATAACAGTATGTAATATTACACAACATAAGTGGAAGTGAACAGAGGAACTACCAGAAAACTACAACGAATAAGCAAAAGAAGAGAAAACACGCTCAATGCGATACAAGTACATAACAATCTGTTATACAAATGGAATAGGCAGGCCATAGATGAAAACCCAGCTTAAACCTTTACTGCCTAAATTATGAGACCGCTGAGCAAAATAAACGTTGTTTTCATTTTCCAGCTTTAAGTAGCAACCTTTAAATGATTCTGCAGTTAAATTATCTAAAATTCAACTTGAACGCATACTTTTGCGTATGTCACGAATTCTCCATATAAGTACCACCGAAGCGAGGACCTTGCAACAAAAAACGTACTTCAGATCTACGTAACATATTGTGTGCCACCTCTTGAGTAAGCTCACACCAAATAAAATTATTGAAGATAGAACTTTTGTCACCAAGGTGAAAAAAAACGAAGTGAGAGTTGTTGCACGCATTTCGCGCTCTCCTCCATGAGCTCCAAAACAATTGGTTCTAGCTTGAAATACCTTAGACGAGACTGCGCTAAATTTTTCATGCTGAAAGCTACCTCGTGCCCTGTGAGTACATGGCAGCCGGCAATAAAGGTGGCACGCATACCGTGACTTACTTGAATTCATGACATTTGGCAGTGAAAGGTTAAAATATTTAATTACTTACACTTTTATATTATAAATTAATATTGTTATCAGCCTAGTTATATAGGATGAAATTTTTAAGCTCATGTTTGAATGCATGTAACAATGACAATGACTTTAGTGAGTAGGGCAAGTAATTCTAAAATTTAATCACCGGAAAGAAGCATGTCATTTTGCAATAGTTGGTGTTGCATTTAGGTAAAAGAAAGTTGTGATTATGGGCGAACCTAGTGCTGTTGGTGTTAGTAAGTAATCTAGCATCGATTAAACACAAGCCGTTTGTTCATTTGTTTAAATAACATTACGATTAAGTGAAAATAAGACAAGCTACACACAGAAAGAATGCAGTTAGCCTGAAGGAGTGGGGTCGCACTGGAACAAAATGAACTCCTGGTAATAGTGGGAATGGCCTACATTAAAGTTAATTTAGACTCTGTAGCTTTTTTTTTTTCTGGCTGAATAGGAAAAACAAAAGTTTAAGCAGCACAGCTATGATGTGAAAATCTAGCACACGTCAGCAAACACCGTAGCTGAGCTCACACTCTCCACAAGCCATGACAGCAGCTGGGAAAAGAACAAAACAGCGAGGCTTCATCTGGAATCCCTCCACATTCGTACAACAGAATACATGCTCAGTCCCAACTCAGGCAATCTGGCCCCAATATATGCTCGGTGCAACGGTTCTGGCGCCTGCTAATGAATCAGGACCAGCACACCTGTGAAATCATTGAACCCGCCCATATCGTGCAAGAAGGTTCATTATGCATTGTGGGGATCTGAGGCGCGCCCGCGACCATTTTGCGGGCATTTTGCCACACGGCCACACCCTTTTGCTTTTTCTGATCTGGTAACGGCACATGGCGATAGATGGCGCCACGTGCGGGCGCGGTATGTGTTACGTGCGCGTTGAGGGAGCTGGCTCTCTTCCGTGGTCGGCGCCCGGTAAGCACGTGTTTTCCTTCGTCCACGTCCCCTTTGGGAATCGCCGGACTGTAGCCGGCCTGGAGTGGCCTTTGGCACCTCGGCAGGCGTGTTTACTTGTGTGCTAGCTTCGGTACCGTACGCTAAGCCCACAGCGGTGCCTAGTGCTTGAAGTGGTCGTACCACACAGAGCCGCACTTGCCGTAGGCCCACGCGTACAAAGTTTGCCCTAACACTCTCGACCAGGCCCAGTGGCCATCGTGAGAGTTCGCAGCATAGCCGCGAGGGACTTTTTCACGACCGGCGTGTCAAAGCTCGCCATTGCTAGCTGCGACGTGCTCGCGGTTTCCTCTTATTGTGAACATTCGTGTGCGGGTGCCCTTGCTCCCCGCATCCCGGGAGCGCATGTTGTACTGTTGTTCGGGGTGCCGCCAAAAGCAATAAAGTGTTGTGTATTTTGTATTTGAACACTGTCCATTTTGCCGCGCCACGCTAAACGCCTTATCAGTTGAGCGCGCGAGGAGCGGTGCGCTACACGCGAGTAGGTGACGGAGCCACGGCCATGTGGCTCGCTAAGCATGAACCCACGGTGATCATCCGCTACGATAAGTAGCGGGGTCACCATAGCATCAGCATGGCATCTGTCTCTTTATCGAGGAAATTATTAAATTTTTTGGAAGAGCACATGTATTCCTCTCTAAAAAAAATCTTGTCATGCTTTATTATTCTTTTTTATTTTTTTTGTGTCTTTCTGTATACATTTTCTTTTCGTGCTGAATAAAAATTCAGCAGCTAGTGAGCGCTTGTCTGACTCTCCTCTTGCATTCCCGTGTTGAATTCCCACTGTTAGTCCTTCATAATACAAAACCAACCAGCACGAAGCATCACTACATTAAGGAAAATGAGAGAGGCCATAGAAAACTTTCTTCCAAAATGCATGCCCAGTTGGCACTTAGTACTTCTCACTCTCTCAGGGTCAAAGGCATAAATGCATGTCATGGCTTGGGTGTAAAAAATGCACTCCTTGGCATGTGCTGCCAGAATGCAAGAATACATAGATTTTCTTTCCTTGCGCCAATGTCTTCGTTTTTGTTTTCTTTTTTGTGTTTTACTACAGCAGTGTACTACCTAGTTTCCGTTTTACATTTTGCCTGGTTCCCACTTGTTGCATCCACAACACTGACGGCTTTCCAGATTTGAATCTTTTGCAAAGTGACTGACTAGCTACACTATTGTTCGCTGCTTACCGATACACGATTACGCATGAATGGCGCAGTGGTGCAACAGCGGAAATACTATTTGGATCAATTTTTGGAGCACCAAAGGCCACTTCTGGAGCAAGTTACAGAAAAAAACATCAGTTTTTTTTTTTAATCGCTAAATCTCCAATTTAGAGCAGTATAACAAGGAACGGTTAGTTTTTGAGAACAAAACTATGTGCAAACTATTCAACGACACCTAAATCATGCACAGTGCCCATCAGCACTGCTATTTCAGAACAGCAGCATTTTGAACCATCTTGCAGTGCAAGCAATTATCTAATCCACATTAGCATTTGCAGTGCCTTTCGAATTGTTTGACAGACTGTGCAAGCTCTGATGTGGATCTATCAAGCTAGCGACCTTGAAATTTGGGAGGTTCGTGAAGCAGTAATGAGTGGGAAAGGGGGACGAATAACTGGCAGATGTTTTTGTTTATTGTTTTGGAGGGTTACAAAAATGTCCGGTATGGCTACAAATGATTGACAGTGATTTTTCAGATGTCAGTGATCATACAACTATGTGGCCGATACATGCATGAGTAATTAAGGAACGAAATACACTGTGTTACATGAGTACATTAACGGATGACCAGGCGGTAGTGACTACCGTGAACAGTAGGCCATCAGGCCCGCGAAGAACACGAGAACATGTAGAGCCCTTTGCCCAGAACGAACTATCTTTATTGTTTCCGAAACGGCCACCCCCCCGTTGTGCCAGGCTTGCACAGCTCAACACAACTATCAGCGCCGTGTGGGGGCGCTACATTTGAGCCAACATTGTAACACTCCTCCCCTTTTAGGAAGAAGACTACGGGGAGTACCTATTCACCGGTTTCCTAGTCCTCGTGCGACGTCGTAACTTCGGCGTGCTAGGCGTAGGCACGACAGAGTCATTGTTCACATGCACACCACTGTTGAGCGCAGTCCCGTCGCTCTCTGTGGCACAGCCACTCCAAAAAAGCTAGTTCCACGTAGCTGTTCCTGATTAGGCACTTCTGGAACAGCTGGTGCATGAAGAAGCGGCGGCTCCAACTGTGGTGGAGCTGCTGCGATAGCAGTTTCAGGAGAGGTCAATGTTTCTGTCTGCACAAGGCGCAAGTGGTCGCTGTGTCGGTTTTCCAAGGTGGCATTCTCAAAACGGACACTGGCTGATGACGGAGTGACATCCATGACACTGGCAAGCACCCAGGGCGTACCCCTGTGAAAGTTTCACGCGTACACGTCATCACCTGGCTGCAGTGATGAAGCCTGCCGGGACCCTCTGTCAGCATACAACTTTTGCTTGAGTTGTTTTAGGAACACAGATGCCTGCAGGCTTGGACTGAGGACATTCAACGGAGTTTTGAACATTCTTCCTGTCAAGAGTTCACACGATGGCCGACCTGTCACTTCATGTGGTGTGGTCCGATAGTGGAACAGAACCTGGAGATCTGCGTTTGGCAGTTCCCAGAACCAGACTTCGTGAGTTTGTTCTTCACAGTTTGTACAACTTGTTCAGCTACACCATTTGAGGCAGGGTGATCCGGCTGTACAAGCATGCGGCGTATTTCATTTCGAGTTAAGAACTCAAGGTACTGGGCACTGGTGAAGGCAGGACCGTTGTCGGAAACTATGATATCAGGCAGGCCATGCTGAGCGAATGCAATTCTCGAAGCAGAAATGGTAGCTTCTACAGATGTAGAAGACACAGGAAAGACTTC